CGGGGGCACTGCCGTGCCCTCATATAACCGATGAAATGAAAACCTGGTCAGTTGTTCATTTTAAATTAAGTGTCAAATGAAATTGTTTTTTTAGATGATACCATTATTTCTTTTTGAGATATTTTTTTCTAGATACATGGAAAATGTTTCAATTTGTGGAAAACATGTGATAGTATTACAAACACGCCTCATTAAACATGTTATTAAATTATTAAAATCGGACACTGGACCTCTGATCGTGGAGATATGAACTTTAGACTATTTGACGAATTATAACTACCGCTGTTTTATAGCAGCGTTTGAGCAACAATAAACACGGTTTTTGGTTTGCGTTCGACACGAAGCGACACAAATGTAGGAGTTAAAAAAAGTTGAACATGGTAAGCGACATGAAGATTTACTCGGGCGATCACTCGCCAGCAAGTTGCTCACGAATGCAACGCGAAACTTACGGCAGCCACACTGCTGTGTACTAGATTCCTCGAATATCTATACAAATACATACAATTATCGTCTGTCGGTAATATTGAAATGACTGACTTATATTAAGCACAGGCGTTATTTGTATGCTATTAAGATATAAATAATAATTTTTAAACTTTTTTGTGTCAATCTGTCCGAGCTAATCATCGTCTTCGTGATGAAACATTACGAATAGATGAGCCGGGGCCAGGGTAATACAAGGAAGGATATAGGTTATATTTTATGCGAAAAACTGTTTTTTTTTTTTTTTGGGATCGTTTATAAAATAAAATGTCTTTGATTATATTAATTTTAAATAACGCCACATACAGGCAAAGCCGGGGCGGGTTCCTACCACCAGGACGGTGTCACTTAAGGGGAAATATTAAAAATACTATCTCAAATGGCTTAGCAAGATCATCCGTTATGCCGAAAATATTACAGCATTAATTTTGAAATAAATATATGGTAAAAATGAGGATTAATGTTAAGTACTATCTTAGACGAATACACGATTCCGTAAAATTTTCTCGATAGGAAAATCCAGTTACCTTCAAACTGAACAATAAACCGCTGGTATTCATAAAATACTTTAAATTAGATCATGAAACTTTGCATACCTACTAACTGAATTAACTATAAAACAGGGCTTATGTTTGTTTTTACCATTATTTTCACCGTAAAAAGATATTACCTAAACTATCAGCGTCTTGAAGCCTGTTTTCTATCGCCCGATTAGTCTCGCTTCTGCCTTTGAACAGGAAAGCTGTGTCACTTACGATCAAAATACACATTACGCAACAGGACGACGTAAAATTAAAATGGGAAATAACCGTAATAAAAATAAGAAGCGACTGGATTGGCGTAAAGAAACAGGCCATAAATATGATAAACCTAATGAAGTAAGTATCTATTATAACGATCTATCTACTTACAGTATTAGTGATTACAAACATGTTGGTACATAGCATACGACGCGCCGGGAAGTGGGGGCGAAATTAGAATTTGAGCTGAGTTACTATAGCCCCTTAATGAGGTGTAATATTTGACAGATTTCATATTGGGGAAGTTAATTTGTTAGGAAAATGAAAAGGTTTGTTTCTTTCTCAGAGATTACTAGCATAGAGAGAGTCCTAAAGTAAGAACAAAATGCTTATAGCTGAACTCTTAATACATATTACACGGTACAATATAAGATAGCTGTATTATTCTCACCATGGAAGTATAGACAAACTGGAAGCTACACTCCTAATTTCAACATTAAGAATAATCAAATTACTGTAAGTAGCCCCTGTTTTCCCTACAGGATAGCCAGCGTGACGTCTAATATTACCCCATTGACAGCCATTAGGAATTTCAGAAGTTTGTCTATATGGCAAGTATTATAAGTAAAAAAATGATAAAAAAACTTGACAAAAAAGATTTTTACGCAAGTGCTTTTTCTTTTAAACACTTTATAAAGATTTACGATGAACTATTTGCCTAGCCTCCTACATATTTCCCCTATTTTAGGGTTATTCTTATAAACCGTTATATATGGTAACCCAAAATCTACTTGTCAAGTAATTTTTACTGCAAATGGCGGATGTTTATGTTCATTTCGCAAGTTTGTTTTTTTGAGTTTTGGAAAAATCCAGACGCAAAACTAGTAAAATGGTCATTAAATGTATTGTGCGCGGTTGCAAAAGTGATTGACATCCAGGATGTAATATTATGTTTCATTCGTAAGTACAAAACACCATGTAAGGCAAAAGAGATGGAGGGGTAAAGAAAAATTTCAAGGTCATTTTCTTGTATTATTTATGTAATTCGAGAAGGCGGGTTCCAGTTTGTACAAAGTACATGTATCTCCACGATTATCACCTTTCTTTTACAAGGTTGTTACCATTTTTCTATTCCATGGACACCTCTATTGATTGCCAGTAGCGAAACAAAACATTGTCAAAAAATTTATTTAGTCTATGATTTAGTGAAATTAAGGATTTTTATTAATTCGTATTACCCGTTTTTTTCTCTGCTCCCTCAAGATAAAGATCATCCATCATTTCACCATTGATATCTGTCCGGATGAGAGGTATCCGCCCCAGGTAGGTATGCAAAAAAAACCGCATCCCATCCCAATCGATCGACCTATAGTGCCAAACACGGCGACAGCCTGCAGAATGCAACCGCGACGTTAATGTTACTGGCACCACACTCCGGACAAGGCAATCGTCCGTCGAGCCTAAAGGTGAGTCGACGGAAACCTGATATCCGTCCGGATGAGAGGTCAGCAGAAGGTCAAACAGGGAAGGTGCATGATCATCCACATCTGGAATCTGCGTAGGCGAAGTAACCAGCTGTGTAAGACCTAATACTATATGCTGGGGTAGTAGTAAACAGATCTCTCCGCATGATCGGTTAAACGTGAACCGTGATCGGGTCATTCGGCGTGGTGGGCATTAAAATCATCAAGGATCACGATCTCTGCGGATGGGATCTGATGTACCAAGGAATATGTAGTCATTTGGACGTGGTCGATGAGTTGGTCTGTGTCGGCATTACCACCCGTAGACGCGCGGATGGTCGTAGCTGTTTACGCGTAGCCAAAGAATGGACAAGTCCGAACCATCAAGACTGCTGAGGCGTCGAGCTTACCCTTTGAACGCCAACGAGTTTAGGCGACAAATAGATTTGCTACATACTTTAATCTTATATTGTAGAATATAGGTGAAAAGATTTTTTTGTCACTTGATTAAATTAAACCAAAGTTAAGCTTGATCTTTGTAGTATTCATTCCAAATTTGAACTTGTTTTAGGCGAAGATAAGCCCTCAAAATATACGTTCACCGTACCAGGCCATTGGCGCTTTGAAGCGTAACTAGTGATGGGGTAATTTAATCTTTTACGATTTACAAGATTGTGCTAACTAAAACATTGATTAAAACTATAAACAATGCGTCCATTGAGGATGCATTGTTTATAGTTTTATACGCTACGGTAATATCGGACGAAAGTACATATAAAAAGGTCAAAACAGACCCCACAACTAACACGCTTAAAGCAACTAGCGATTTAATAAAGAAATACTCCGAAAAATTAAATCTCGACGTGAATTCGCTAATACCATCATGTACCAAACCACCAAGGTTGTATGGGTTACCGAAGATACACAAACCAAACGCTCCACTACGTCCTATAGTGAGCCAGATCGATTCACCAACTTATAAGCTGGCACAACACTTGGCAAAAATACTGTCACCACTGAGAGGACATACCAGAGCACACACAAAGGATTCATACCATTTTGTTAGTGAGATAAAAGACCTACATCTCGCTGACAATGAAACTATGGTCAGTGTTGATGTTCAGTCACTATTCACATGCCTACCTATCGAAGACTGCATCTCAATTGTAACTAGGAAGCTAGAAGATAACAACATGCCTGCTGAATATGCAGTATTACTCAAACATTGCCTCACATCTGGCTATCTATTGTGGAAGGAAGAGTTCTACAAGAAAGTAGATGGTGTGGCGATGTGCTCACCTGTATCTCCCATAGTCGCCGACATATTTATGGAGGACTTAGGAGAAAGCCCTTCTTACTGCTCCTGTAAATCCAAGATTCTACAAGCGGTATGTAGACGACACCTTCACAATTTTACCATCTGACAAAGTAACTGCAATTTTAAACCACCTTAACTCTATAAACTCTAAAATACAATTCACAATGGAGTTAGAGGCAAATAATTCTTTAGCTTTCCTAGATGTTTTAGTCATTCGAAATCCTGATAACATTATTGGTCACACTGTGTATAGAAAAAAGACCCATACCAACCGATATTTAAATGGTGAATCTCACCATCATCCTTCATTGTTTCAGAGAGCACGAGGGATCTGTGACAGAAAACATCTGGCCGCCGAGCTGCAGCATGTCAAGCAAGTATTGCAAGACAACAAGCTTCGGATCCCGCGCCTACGTCACAGTGACCGAGTGAAGCCGGGCACAGTCGAGCGTGTGCCTACTGTACTATACCATATGTCAGAGGAGTCACAGACAAGGTTGGCTACATCTTGAGGCGAGCTTCCATTAAAACATACAACAAGCCGCCGAAGAAGATTAGTCAATTTTTACCATCAGTGTAATATCCCTCTACAAGATACAGGAGTGTACAAGTTAGATTGTAAAAGGTTTTCGCACATTATAACAACTCACCGGCGACTCGACTCTATGCTAGACATTGAAATTTAAGCCCTGTATCATATGTTCAAGGTTCAATTTCAAAAAATGATTATAAAGTAGTGTACAACGAGTGGCCTACGCATCATACACTAGAGGTCAACCCCGACACGTTTGTCACGCAATGACCATACGTCGTCCACGCAACGACCAAACGTTGTCCACGTAACGACTATGCGTTTGCGACTGACGCGTGACGGGCAACCATTTGCCAGCCCACCCGTCCGCCCCGTGCCTTCCCCCCGCCCGCCATCATTCACTATAGAATCGAAGGACGGAGTGCACGTTGGCGGTACACGGTGATAATTTTTCGAAAATCATGCTGAAAGAAAAGTTGATAGAAGAAGTGCGAAAATATCCGCTACTATACGACCTTCGTGATCCGAAATATAGTGACGTACATAAGAAGGAAAAGGCATGGAATGAAATCGCTATTGTATTGTCGCAACCAGGTAAGAATTTTTTTTTGAGTTATTGATTTTGCCATAATCTACAGAAATTCAGCTATCGAACAAATAAATATGTGTGATTCTAATAGATATTAATAATAATGTTAAAACTTATAAGTCATTTCATTAAAGTACATTGTTGAGAAAATTTAATTCAACCTGTTACATCCAAAAAGTAGGTATGTTATTGTACAGTTAACAGTACCTACGATTTTCTACTTGGACACTCGAAAAATCTTGGTTTATCGTAAAAATTAGTTTTTTCACATACAGTAATATAAAATCCCAGAATTTACTGATATAAAATATTAAATCTACGTCATATATATTTTTTTTTAGTTTGGGTTTCTGTATGTTATAATAAAGTGCCTTACGTTTATTTAATATAGGTAATCAGTAATAAAATCCCAGCTTAGTATAGAAACTTGTTTAATATTCTTAATAAGCCAATAATATTATAACCAACTTCTTACGATTATTACATATTAATTATACATGATCTATATTAAATGCTGCCACGGAACTCGTCCTTCGGGAGATTGAAAATAAGTTGCAAACATATCACGAGTTTCAAAAGCAGATGCCGAAGATTCACTTATATCTTCTGGAATTGTACTTAGATTACTTAGTAATCTCTGTTCATCATCATTATTGGCCGAACTCTGCCTTGTGTTGACTTCATCATCGGATGTTATATTATAACACCGCATGACATTGTGTAAAATACACGTCGCAAAGACCACAATATCAACATATTTTGGGTGTAAATGCAAATTCTTATTATAAATTCCAAATTTTTGATATAAGATGCCGAACGCGTTTTCAACTACTCTGCGAGCTCGCGATAAGCGATTATTGTATATTCTTTCCTTTTCTGAAATGCCACTTGAACGTGGATATGGTCGCAATAAATTCCTTTTTAAAGGAAACGCTTCGTCGGCTACAAAAACATGTGGCATTATTATTTCAGTACCAGGTAATGGTGTGTCAGTTGGAATATTAAATGTATTCATTTCAATCGCTCTTCCTAATCTTGACGATGCCAAAATTCCGCCATCACTATTCTTGCCATAGGCCCCTATATCGACAGCTATAAATCTGTATTTATCATCGACGACAGCCATGAGGACGATAGAGAAGTGTTTTTTATAATTAAAAAATAGCGAGCCGCTGCTAGGAGGAGCAATTATGTTTACATGTTTGCCGTCGATGGCACCTATACAGTTTGGAAAATTCCATTTTTTATTGAAACCATCTGCGATTCTTTTCCAGTCTTCGGTAGTAGGTGTGGGCATGAACTTCCCCTTCATTGTATTTATAATCGCATTGCACACATCTTTTAATATCGACCGGATGGTACTTTCGCCTAACCGAAAGCTTGAACTCATAGTCCTAAATGAACAGCCACTAATCAAGTACCTGAAACAACCAATTTTTCTTTATATTTATATTATTTTGTTACAGCGTCAGAATGTAAGAAGATATGGCAAAACTTAAGGGAATATCATAGAAGAGCCATTAAAAAGAAAGCAACTAAAAGTGGTCAGAGTGCTAATACTAATAAAAAATGGCAATATGAAACTGAAATGTCTTTTTTATTACCACATTATAAAGAACGGTCTACAGTGACGTCAGTGGACAACACAGATGATGGTGATGATGAAAATAGCTTATCTGCTGCGGAAATTCTTGCCAATGTGACTAATAATGAAGAATCTCAAGACTCGTCAATTATCTCGGAGCGTCCTGAATCTTCGGTGTCTATGTACGATTCATCTAGATCAGTGTTTCCTGACATTCCAAAAACGACAAAACGAAAGAAATTGCAAGAAACAAGTGCATCGGCGGTTTTAATGGAATATTTATTAAAAAAAAAAAACGATGAAGATGGAAAGCAGAATGACGAAATGGATAAATTTTTTTTAAGTATTTCTAGCACAGTAAAAAAATTATCTACCTATAATCAAGCACTTTTAAAGTCAAGAATTTTTAATTTAGTTTCGGAAGCTGAAATACAAGAACTGCAAAATAATCGAAACTGTTACTATGATGATTTTTTTGCACCAGGAACTTCTGGCTACACAACTCAAAACCTAAATGCAGGTACTACCGGTAGTAGCACCGCTAGCACCCAACAGCAAAATACAACGCCTATGGAAGAATCGAGGGTTGATGGTTCTTCTTAACACAATTAAAGTAAAATTGCTTTGCTTTGATTTATCCTTTAACTTGATATATAAATAAATACATATAAATTATAAAAAAGTTTCTTATTGCTTACCTTAATGTCACTGCCAGCTTTTCTTCCGGTGATACAGCTTCTCTAAATCGCGTGTTTCTTTTGTAGATGTCGTCCTCAATAATATTAAGTATATAATAAAACAAGTATCTCGGCATACGGAAATAGATATAGAATTTTTCTTCGTCATCTAGCAGACGTTTCCGGATATTCCAATATTCCCCTTCTGATTTCCTTTGTCGCAACAAATCATGTACCCAATATCTTCTTTTCCTGCTGTTTCGTTCATTTTCATTATCAAATATAATAGCTATAATCGCCAGTTCACTGAATGTAAAGTTCGACATTTCATAAGCAACACGACTTCTTTGGACAAAATTTAACCGAAAACTGAGGTTAGACGAGTTGTCTGTTGAATAACCCACTCGTTGGCACCGCGTTGGCCACTCCTTGACACCGCGTTGTCCACTAGTGACCATTGGGTGGATCAACTAGTTGACTACTCATCGAGAGTGTGAGTAGAGTTGCTGCCGCGTTGGCGTGGAGTTGTTATAATGTGCGAAGACCTTAAATGTGGTCTCTCTTACATAGGTTAAACAAAAAGATCTATAAAAACCCGCCTGAAAGAACATATAGCTGACGTGAATCACCGACGCTCCGGGAAGTCTGCAGTCTGTGAACATGTTCAAGATCGTCCCCACCATTTACATCAGATTTGATAAACCAAAAATCCTCGCAAAAGAACACCGATTCCTACCAAGGATGATACGCGATTTCAATAGAGAAGATGGTTGGGTGCTGCCATCTGCTTGGGATCCTATAATTAACAAAATTAAACCAAAACCCAAGCATACCACTGCAAGACTTCAAGATACTGTAAGTTCGTTTTGCGTAAATCGGACCAAAAATTAATATTCAAAAACTGAAGGTAGCCGGGCTAACAATGAAATTGGGACGTCAAACATCTCAGTCCCCCCCGTGACCATGGTTAATAATAATAATAATGAAACAGACAAGCAAACGAAATATCTGGACCTGGCTCACGAGGTGACCGACATGTGGGGTGGTCTGCCGACCGAAATTATTCCTGTAGTCGTCTCTGCAAACGGGCTAATCCCAGTCAGCCTCTCGGATCATCTGAGGCGGCTGGGACTACGTGGCGGACCGCTCCAGGTTCAAATGCAGAAGGCGGTGCTCCTCGATACCGCCCCCATCGTCCGCCGGTTTCTTTCCCTTTCCCCCTAACCCTCGGCCGTTTGGTCTCCCCTGCCGAGGGCCTCCATCTGGTTGGGCTTTAATTTATTTATGTACTTTTATATTTATTTTATGTTATTGATATTTATGTATATTTATCTTTTCATTTTCATTTATAATTATATATTTATAGCACCCAACCAGATGAGAAAACTATATAGATACCCCAAAATAATAATAATAATAAATAACGTTTATTAGCAATTATTGCTGTAAAGCACCCGAAACGTCGGGAATTAAAAATAAGTAGAATCAGTTAAATAAACGCGATAGAATCCGTAAATTTAGTCGTCTGTTGTCGTTTCGTGCGCATAGACCATGTTCTTCAAGTGTTTTCGATCTGTTTTTATTTGATTACCCGGCTTTCGTTTAATGGACTTTCTGCTTTTCAAACTGACATCGGCGCTAAATCGGTCTTCGATTGTGTTTTGTATTGCGTTCTTTTTACTTTTGGTGCATAATAATGCCTAAACGTGGACAAACATTGAAAAGTGGAGCCCGTGAGTTAATCATCAAGCTGCAAGATTACTTTGAGCGGGAGCGGCAAAATGGCGGACCCCTGTTACCTGTCGAACAAGTACAAGAACGCGTCTCTCAGGCGCTTGGAGTTAGCAAAAGAACGATAACAAATATTAATAAAGAAAAGTTCGGCTCTACTGGCACGGAAGATAATATTTTACGTACTCCGAAGAAGAAACGTAGAACTAAACCCGTGACAGATATTGACACCTTTGACGCCGATGCCAGAAATGAATATCTCAACAGGAAGAAGCTTTTGGCATCGTTAAGAGAAGCTGGACTGTTTAGCGAGGGTAAAACTGCTTTAACCAAAATCTTAAAAGATATTGGTTTTTCGTATAAAAAAACAGACAAAAGAAAAATTTTATTAGAACGATACGACATAATTTTAAAACAGATAAGTTTTTTGAGAGAAGCAAAAAATATTGATAACTGGGATAATGTCGTGTTCATTGACGAGACATGGCTAAACGCCAATCACACGGTTTCCCGTTCTTGGACGGATGATACACAAGCGTCGACGTCGAAAGTACCAATGGGTAAGGGGGCCCGTTTGATAATATGCCACGCAGGTTCTGCAAAATACGGCTTTGTGGAGAACGCGTTACTGGCATTTCAATCAAAAACCACAAATGACTACCACGAGGAAATGAATGCCACTACATTTAAAGAGTGGTTCCAGAACGTGCTTTTGCCTAGCCTACCAGAGTCTTCTGTAATATTCATGGATAATGCCTCCTATCACTCGGTTCAAATACAGAAACCACTTACCCAAGCTAATAAAAAAGAAGAAATGGTAGCTTGGTTACAATCAAAAGGCATTGACGCAAATATGCAGATGCCAAAACCAGAGCTAATTAAATTAGTTAAAGAAAATAAAGCGGCAAATGTGCGATACGAAATCGATGAACTGGCTCTGGAGTACGGTCATCGCGTTCTAAGAATTCCACCGTATCATTGCCAATATAACGCGATTGAGCTAATCTGGGCTCAAATAAAAGGTTACGCCGCCCGCCACAATACTTCCCCGCCATTCAGCACGAAAAAGATGATGACCCTATTAAAAGAAGCCTGCGGGTAAGGTCACAAGAGATGACTGGGCAAAGGTTGTTGAGAAGACTAAAAACCTGATTGTGGAACATTTTGACCGAGATATCAGGATTGATTCTGTTATTGATAATAATAGAATTATACATGTAGGCGAAGATGATGATGAAGACATCATCTCCTCAAGCGAATCGGAATCTGATTAATATTCTGTACGCACATTCAATTCAATGTACTTTATTGCATAGAAATACAGAACAGTAACTTTGTAACAAAGAATAAATAAAACAATTTTATTATATTAATATTACCTTTTTTTGGTTTCCATTACTAAAATATGAATTTGAAATGATTCCGCCAATTTAAAACGAAAATAATCTTAAAAATAACGCGGCGGTTCATTTTGGAGGAACGGTAACGAACTCAGTGTTATGTTGTGCCCATCACTAGTCGTGACTAACTGATAGGTGTCAGGATCGCATTCTCTGAACGGCCGAACTATAGCATTTTGCTAGTATTGGCCCAGACAGACAAACATACATAGATTTCGAAGTTATAACACCCCACTTTTACGTAGATAATCTATATATCTCTTTTACGTCGATAGTCTATATTATTGTTCCACTGAATTATTGAAAAGAAGTTTCGTATAAGGAACTAGGAGATGCCAGAAAGTTGTCATCGCCTAAAATAATAAATACTCCAGACTAGCAAAGCCGCTTCAAATAAGTTTCGTGTAAGGAACTAGGAGATGCCCAGAAAGTTGTCATCGCCTAATATAATAAATACTCCAGACTAGGAAAGCCACTTCAAATAAGTTTCGTGTAAGGAACTAGGAGATGCCAGAAAGTTGTCATCGCCTAAAATAATAAATACTCCAGACTAGCAAAGCCGCTTCAAATAAGTTTCGTGTAAGGAACTAGAAGATGCCAGAAAGTTGTCATCGCCTAAAATAATAAATACTCCAGACTAGGAAAGCCGCTTCAAATAAGTTTCGTGTAAGGAACTAGGAGATGCCAGAAAGTTGTCATCGCCTAAAATAATAAATACTCCAGACTAGCAAAGCCGCTTCAAAGAAGTTTCGTATAAGGAACTAGGAGATGCCAGAAAGTTGTCATCGCCTAAAATAATAAATACTCCAGACTAGCAAAGCCGCTTCAAATAAGTTTCGTATAAGGAACTAGGAGATGCCAGAAAGTTGTCATCGCCTAAAATAATAAACACTCCAGACTAGCAAAGCCGCTTCAAATAAGTTTCGTATAAGGAACTAGGAGATGCCAGAAAGTTGTCATCGCCTAAAATAATAAATACTCCAGACTAGCAAAGCCGCTTCAAATAAGTTTCGTATAAGGAACTAGGAGATGCCAGAAAGTTGTCATCGCCTAAAATAATAAATACTCCAGACTAGCAAAGCCGCTTCAAATAAGACAATAGTCTTTCAATAATAGGCAGTGTTACTTCCCAAGTGAGGCTGTTACGGCAAATCCATTCTACAACTGGGGAGCCGTTTATATTAGAGACGGGTCGAATAAGGGTTTCACCGAATACGAATATTCGGCCGAACATTATTCGACAACTAACCTTAGCTCGGTACCCAACCAATTTATGTGTGAAATAAATCTACAGTGCCTCAAAAATATATAACGCTTTTACAAGTAGATTTAACTAAATTAAAATTAAAAATTAAACTATACTTACTTTCAACAGTAAAATTATGAAAGACATGGCATTACTCAATTAGTAGATTTTAATACAGTGGACGGTTTGAGTACCACTTTTAACGAATGTTCGGTGATTTAACCGAATATTCGATCGAATACGAATATTCGGTAAAGCTGCCAAATACCGAATATAAGACGAATATTCGGCCCATCTCTAGTTTATATAGTGAATTGCTATAGTTGACGTTGATCCACCTTTTAGTTTTTTATTTTAATAAAATGCCACAATTTAGCTTTGAATTAAAAAAAATTCCAAACCAAAATCACTTTTATTTACATGTCAGGAGGTTTACATTATTAACTTTGTATATTAGATGACAAACGATATTAAGAAATAATAAACAGTTTTAAAAGTTGAAATTATTCTAAAACTTACGATTAGTGAACAACATTATAACATTCCAAT